TAACAGAATGTCCATATCTTTTGCCTATTTTTAAAAATTGTGACTCATATATGTAATGAACACATTTGCCATTCCAACCATTTTTACAAGTACAATTCAGTGACATTAAACTACTTCCAGATTTTTCCATTACTTTGAGAAGAAACTCACTAACAATAATTCCCCTCATGCCTGCCCTTGGCATGACCTGTGGTCATCACTAATCAACTTTGGTCTTTGTATTTATTTATTCTAGATATTTCATATAAGTGCTACTATCATACTACATGATAGTATCTGGAAGCAGTTTAATGTCACTGAATTGTACTTGTAAAAATGGTTGGAATGGCAAATGTGTTTATTACATATATGAGTCATAATTTTTTTTTAAATATGCAAAAGATATGGACATTCTAAAAAAAAAAAAAAAGATACATATGTGACAAATTCACATGAAGGCAGAAATGCTGGAAATGTCACAAATGCTACATTCCTAGACTACATGATTTACCTTTCTTTCTCCTGTGTAGTAATGACCTTCAATGAAGACTGCAGAGAGATTGCAATAATCCATAAACTTTTCATTTCTCTGCCAGTGACTTTGACCACTGGACAAAGTCTGGAAGTCCTGAGAATTCCTGAAAACCTCTCATCCTGCAGTCACATTCAAGGGAACATTATTCTAAAGAGAACACCTTTAGAACAGATACATTCCTTCTAGTTTGCTATAGTCTCACCAACTCTCTATCAACTCCGCTTGCATAAAGATTTACGACATTGGAAACCCTGCATAGGGTCTTGATGATTCAGAACCAATTCAATGGCACACAACCACCACCACCATTCTCTATCAAACCTAGCATCTCTACAAAAGCTAGAGCTCCCACTTGGGCCTGGTAAGACTGGCACATATGCATACCAGATTCTAGATTTATGTACACATCTCCTTGACAGGTACCAGTTAAACCACTTCCGCCTTGACAATGCCAGGGAATGTGGTACATGTCCTCAGAACAAGGACCTAATTTACGATGCTCTGAAGGCTATCCTCACAACTTCCCCCTTAGGGTGATCTCTGGGCTTATAGAAACTCAAGACCACAACATTTAATCCACAGAGTTTCCTAGAAGACCTTGGTAGTGATGCAAATGGGGCCAAGTCTGGACAGAGAACTGTTCTCTGTCACCCTCCTATCACTTCCAAGCCATTAAAATTGGAGGCCCTTTTAGTCTGGTAGTCCTTAAATCTGTTGTTTACCACCCCCTAACATGCATAAAAGATTAAAAAGTGATTTTAACAATAAGGACTTTATTATTACACAAATCAGGACAATGTAAAACAAGTTGTTGTTGGACTGGATAACTTGAAGGGTGAATCACATGTCCAACAATGTCCTGGAAAAGGTAATTTTCTCTGCAAGACAACAGCAGAACCTAGTTCATGTCTGTGCAGCCAAACATGGGCCATGTCCACAGCTTAACCAATCACAGTGGGAGTGAATAATTCCACCCAATGGCCACAAGCTACTCACAATTTCCTCCAGTGATTGGAAAGAGGGAAGACAGGTCTGCTTTCCGTGAGCACAGTGGAGTGGCCAACCGACTCTGAAGGACTGCAATTGCGTAGATCTGAAATGGCTTCGGCCACAAGCACGGGCTATGGCAAATCTTTAGTCACTGGTCATAGTCTCCGGTCAGAAAATGTAATTTAGCTCCAGAAAGTTTCAACCATACCAAGCATTTGTAAGGAGTCTCCCATTGTGGATATCTGGATGAAAAGGTTTAACTCTGGCCTATAGTTTTCCTCATACAGACTTTCCTGTGAGTTTATCTTTGATGTCAGTCACTAGGATAAAGGAGCACATTCCTTGCATTTCTATGGCCTTTCTCCAATGTGAACTTTCCAATGCCAAATGAGGTTAGGCTGAAGGCTTTCCCCATTAGCTGCATTAATAAGGCTTATTTGGTCTGTGAAGTTTCTGGTGCTGTATCAGATTAGACCTTTGGCTGAAGGCTTTCCCACATTCACTACACTCATAGGGGCGTTCACCACTATGAACTCTCTGATGTTTTACAAGGTCAGAGCTTTGGCTGAAGGCTTTCCCACATTCAACACACTCATAAGGCCGCTCACCAGTGTGAAGTCTCCGGTGGTTACTGAGACTGGAGCTTTGGCTGAAGAATCTCCCACACTCACTGCATTCATAAGGCTGTTCACCTGTGTGAACTCTCCGATGTTTAATGAGACTGGAGATGTGGCTAAACAATTTCCCACATTCATTGCACTTATAAGGTTTTTCTCCAGTGTGAACTCGCCGATGTTTAATTAGGTTGGAGTTGTAGCTAAAGAATTTCCCACATTCACTGCACTCATGAGGGCTTTCGCCAGTGTGAACCCTCCGATGTTTAATGAGGTTGGAGCTCTGGCTGAAGAATTTCCCACATTCACTGCATTCATAAGGCCTTTCTCCAGTGTGAACCCTCCGGTGCTGAATGAGGTTAGAGCTTTGGCTGAAGAATTTCCCACATTCACCACACTCATAAGGCATTTCTCCAGTGTGAACCCTACGATGTTTAATGAGACTGGAGATGTGTCTAAAGAATTTCCCACATTCCTGGCACTCATAAGGCTTTTCTCCAGTGTGGACTCTCTGGTGTTGAAAAAGACTCGAGCCCTGGCTGAAAAATTTCCCACATTCACGGCACTCATATGGCTTGGCTCCAGTGTGGGTTTTCTGGTGCTGAATAAATCTGGTTTTACGGCTGAAAGCCTTCCCACATGTGCTGCATTCATAAACTCTTTCTCCATTGTGAACTCTCTGATGTATACTGAGGGTGGAGATCTGTCTAAAGAATTTTCCACATATATCACATTCATAAGTCCTTTCTCCAGTGTGAATGCTCTGGTGCTGAACAAGTGTGGATTTGTCGCTGAAAGTTTTCCCGTGTTCGCTAAATTTATAATTCCTTCGCACAGTGTGGATACCCACCACACCTTCAGTGCTCCTATGCGGCTCCCCCAGACTGTGAGTGATCTGATGCTGGACAAAGCCTGGTCTGGCCATGAAGTCCTTTACACCCTCCTTACATGTGAAAGGCTTCTCTGACGTGTGGGATCTGCAGCTCTTTACAAATAAGGTCTGACACTCATCCCTTCTGTTGGCCTTCTCTGCATTCTGTTGCGTCTGTTGCCGGTGAAGGTTTACAGTGAACTCGAATTCTCTGCCCAATTCAGCACACATGTATGGTTTCAGACTGGTATTCGTTGCCTGTTGTTCACCCAGGTGCAAAATGTCTTTCAAGAATGGGTCACCCATGTCATCAGGGTAGTGCTTCTGGATGGACAGATCTACATTTAGAGTCCTGTCCTGTGATAATCCTTCTATAAAAACACAATGTTCAGGAGGCGTCTCCTGGGTCTCCATTTCATGCCCATACCCTGAAAACAGAAATCATGGTGAATTTCATTTACTTGTGGTGGAAACAAGACCCACTTTTGTCGAGTCAATTCCAACACATAGCGTCCCTACAGGACAAACAAGAATGGACCCACAGGGTTTCCAAAGCTATCGTCTTTACAGAAGTAGGCTGACACATCTTTCTCCCACAAAGCTGTTGGTGGCTTTGAATCACCAACTTTTTGGTTGGCAGCCGAGTGCTTAACCACTGCACCACTGGGTTCCTTTGAAAGAGCGAGCCCGATCCCAAATGTATGTCTGACTTAAGAAATGCGAGCTTGAACCTGCGACCTCGTGGTTCCAAACAGCACTGCAGTCCCAGCGCAGTAGCCCACAGCACCTCCTAGCACAGAAAGGCCTTAGGAAATGCAAGTCAAAGGGGCAGACTCTGAATCACAGAACCCTCAGAGAGCTGGACAGTCACCCCAGCAAGGATCCAGATAAGATCTATTGGGAAGACTGTGAGACTCCTCGTTCCAAGACCCTTTGGCAAGGCTTCAAGGCCTCAGCTTGAAGGTCCTGCATATTACTCATCCCTGGAACCTACAATAAGACCTAGGAACACCAGAACCGGTGTAAGGTGGAAACCTGTCAGACAAGGAAATGTAAATATTCTCCACTAAAACGAGCAATCAAAAATGGTAAGACTGCACTCTATCAAAGGCAGAAAACTTGCAAGATCTGGAATAACAAAGCAGGACCCTCAAGTTCCAGCTCTTACAGGTTTCACTGTACCAAGGAAACAGTGAGCTGTGGGGAGTGTAGAGCTGTCTCCTGGGAAAAGGGAAAAGGCAGAGACCACCTCATGATAAGTATAAAGTCTTACCCAGCGAGGTAATAAGTGCAAAGTTCTCCAGCATCACATTGTAATATAAGAGCCTCTGAGACTCATCAAGGAGACTCCACTCCTCCAGGGAAAAGTAGATGGCCACATCCTCCAAGGTCACACAGCCCTACAAAATGGGAACAGTTAATTCCATGATCAGCTTCTCTCCTCAGGAATCCCTATCCACTTCCCTATATCTAGCTCCTGCTTACCCTCTAGCTCAGCTCTCCAACTCAAGAAGAGGCACTCTGCTCTTTTCTCATGTCCCATTGATCTATCAGCCCACAGCAACAACAGGCTGGAGGGCAGACAGACAGCATCTAATCTCCAGACCTAGACTGCAAGTCCAAACCCACCTCATCTGTGAGCCCCTTTCCCTCACGTTGCCAGTGAGGGACCACAGGCCTCCAAGATACATACACAAACTAAGCCTTCTCCCTTAAGCCTCCTAGAGTGCACAGTTCACACTCCTCCCCCACATGCATATCACAGCTTGGACTGTACCTTCCTTAAAACTCTGGACCCTACCATTGCATCTCCATTGCCATTGGTCTCTCCTCTCCAAGTCCATACCACCTTCACTGACTACCTCACATGTCACTCTGCACAGAACTTCCGGAGAGTACTTGACAAGTACAGTTAAGACCCCATCCTACCCCATACCTGCAGTGGTTCTCACTGCCAAGAACACTACCCAACCCTGCTTTGAAGGCCTCCACAACTCATTAATAATGTAGGCTTGTTCTAGCTTCAACCTGAAGAACCCAAAACCACACACAGATCTCAAATACCCTCTGCTCGCTTCCTCTTCTGTGTTGCACTGTCTAGTCTTTTGTCAGTTAACACTCATTCAGAAGTCAACCCTTCTGTTTCTCCTCTCCCCACTGGCCCAGGCTCCCCAAGAATCCCTGTTGGCCCCAAACCTTCCTGAGCTAATTCCCCACCCTGCCTGAAAACCCTCAGGCTCTATTAAGGGTCACCACAAAAGCCTGGGGAGAACACAGCACCAGACAAGGCCTCACTGTAAGATACCTCCGTTACTGCTAAGTAAGCCTCAGCATACCTTTTATACCTAATCTCGCTTAGAAAATTTTGTCATGTGTCAGGATCCCACCCCCCTCCATATACGTCACCCCAGCCTCATTCTTCCTCATCTTTTTTTTTTTATGATGTTTAGTAAGCCAACCATGATGCCCAAGCAACACACCTAGTTCTCAGTTCTCAGTCCCCACCTTCCTCTTTGTCCCTAATAGTTCTACCACCGTGACCCGAAGATTCACCTACCTAAATCTGGCCCACAGCCTCACCTTTGTCCACATACCATAGTTTGGATGTTTCTAACCATAACACCTTCCCAGAACTCCAGGAATATGTTCACTCTGCAACTCCATTGAGGGGTCTCTGAAACATCACCGTTTATTCAACATGGCCAAAATCAACCTGTTGGTATTGCCACTGAAATGTCCTCCTACAAACAACTTCTCTGTCTCAGCTGTTGATACTTCCATCCTTTCGGATGTTAAAGCTGAAAACCTTGGACTCATCCTGTCTATTTTTTGTTCTCTGCACCAGGAAAACTGGTCATCCAGACTTAAAAGGCAAACCCACAACTTGTAGCTATAGTCAGTCCTGTCTCCTGGACCACTCCTATAGCTTACTCTGTCCTCCGGCCTCCACCCTCACCCTACAATCGGTTTTCCTCTCTGCATCTGAGTTAAGTCACTTTATTACTCTACTCTACATCTTTCAGGCTCCCAACACCTTCAGAACACAAAACCAACTCCTCAACCTGCCATTCCAGGTTCTTTGTTTGTCTAGGACACATGGGCCACCTAGGGTTCCCTCTCACTTCTAAGCATTTGTACCTACTGGTTTCCCTCACCTGAGAAACCCTTTCTCACCCTAGGATTCCAGAAATAAGAACAGGTCTATATATAATCCCTGGCCTGGGTTCAGGACTCTAGGCCCGAGTGTCTCCCCTCTAGGGCCCCAGATTCAAAAGCAGGTAGAAGAGCTCGATGACAATTCCACCGTTTATATCATAGTGTCAGAACAAGCAGCTCCTCCACTCACCTGCGTCAGGTCCATCAGTGCTGCAGCCGCCATCAGTCTATGGAAGGAGCGGGGTCGTGAGATGTGTGGGCTCATCCGACCACCTCTCTTGCCTTATCCTGAGCCGGCTGTTAACCTCAGGGCCGTACTCCTCGCTTCAGCCTTCCAAACGTAAAACGAGTATAAGGACCATGGTGTGGAGCGCCTTCGAGGTTGCGGAGAGAGCGCTGCCCAATGGGTCCTGGCGGACACCACAGTTATGAAAGAAGGGGTGTGTGTCGGTTCGTACAAAGACGCGGAGGTGATTTCTGTCTTCCTCACCGTCCTACCGTGCTCGATCCCAAACAGGCTGCCTGAGAGACAATCGGGATCCAGGTACCTAGTTCTACGCATGCGTTTGGATAAACCTGCTACACTCAAATGAATTCTAGGACCCAGACACCGAGAAGTTTCGGTCCCGCCTACCTGAGTTGTATGAAATGCCTCCCTCCTGGGTCGTCATTGGCCCAGCGCTGTCCAACGACGCACAAACACAGCCTTCTGGGTAATGTAGTTTCTATTCTGCGCTGGTCTTCGCTGGCCGAGCTAGCGGAGCTGGAGTTAGGGGAAAACGGAGATGGATCAGGTAGGGCGGAGGCAGGCAATGGTACCCGGTGGCGGTGGGGGAGAAATGCGGAGGGACGCCTTTCCAGTTTCCCAAGACAAAGGCCAAGCGGCACTTTGTGAAGGACTGGGAAATAAAGTTCCAATTTCCCAAAGAGAGGAATTTTCTTCCTTTCTGTAAGAGATCTTTCCAACACTTCTGTGATTACCTAGAACACCTTGTTAAATGCTGTCGAATGGCGATCCTATACACAACAGAAGGAAACAGTGCCCACTCCTGCGTTATCCTCACAATCGTTATGTTAGGAGCTCATTGTTGTTGTCAATTTGTCACTCCAGCTCGTTGAGGGTCTTCCTCTGTCGCTAACACTCCACTTTAACAAGGCATGATGACCCTTCTCTTGTTATGATGCCCCTGCCCTTGAAGTGCAGTCCGCTTGGTTCCGACTCACAGCGTTTCCAAGGCCTCATCTTTCTCCCCAAGAGTGACTGGTGAAATCAAATCCAGTTAGCATTCCAGTGCTTATCCTACAGAGCCACAGTGCTCCAGGCGTTGCTATTTGTTGTTAGTGCCTTGGAAGCGGTTTCGGACTCAGCGACAGCGACCCCTATAGTGTTTTCGAGGCTTTTAAATCTTTCCGGAAGCAGATAGCCTCATCTTTCTCCCGTGGAGCAGCTGATGGGTTCAAACTGCGGACCTCTTGGTTCGTAGTCCATTCTTTATCTAGCCTCTAATTCATTACTTGGCTATCCTGCCTTGCTGGTAATAAAGTAATCCCCTTCACCTCTCAGGGTTTAGATCAGCATTGCGTGATATTTGTGTACTAACATTAAAAGTTGCTCAGCCATTCAAGATCAAAAAGGCAGCATTTACCCAAAGACAAAATTCAGAAGGGTTGGAAAAGAAGGAGAAATGGAAACCAGAAGCCAGGGAGGAAGTGGGATAAATGATGTTACATTGAGAGGATTGTAATCATTGAGATGAAATAAACTATGACTTGTTGAATGTGAAACTGATGATGTGCTCTGTAAGCCTTCAATTAATTCATAATAATATTTTTTTTTTAAAAAAAGGTGCTCTACTGCATCAGTTCTCAAACCAATAGCATCTACATCACTCCGTGGAATTTGTTTAAAATCCTGGGTAACAGCTAAAACCTAATGACTCGTCAAATGCACTATGATGGGCAACTAGGCATTGAGGCTGTAAAGGCTCATTAAATTCAAATGAAACTAATGCAGATGATAGTCCTGGAGATCTTAGCTTCAGATGAAGGGGTAGAGAGGTGGATGGAATGCTTAGGAGAAGAGAACACTGAATAGTTGTGACAAAAAAGAAGACAGACAGACTGGTGACTGGTGCTGGCAACTAGCGCAACCATTTTCAAACTTTTGTGAGTGGCTTCAGAGACAAGAGAGCATATTGGCGTTGCAGAAACATACTGGTGACTCACAGAGATAAAGGTGTGATTTATATCTTGTTCCCCACACTCTCCTTGTGACAGAGGTGTGGCTGGCCCCCACCCACATACACCCCAGAGAAGCTCCTGCTCTCCCATTGGTCAGAGCCTCACAGAGGGTGAACTTCACAGTTGTGAGCCCCATCTGCATTAACTCCAGTGCCTGGATTTAAGTGAGTATGTTCCAAACTTGTCCAGCCCTGGACTAGCCCTAGTCTAGAAACAGCTGAACAGATGGACAGTGGAGGTGAGCGTCTGGAGGGCGGAAGGAAACAGGTCATCTGTGCCAACCAGTCAGGCACAGTGCAACCATCTCTAATTTTTTCGGACAGTTTACAGGCTGATAGAAAGGTGCGAATTTTTTTCTTACACCCCACATTACCCTGTGACCAGTGTCTGCCCACATACACTCCCAGTGAATTTCCTGCTCTCTGGGTGGACTGGGGCTTTTTAAAGTGTGTGGAGAGCTACCAGAACCAACCCAGGCACCTAGAATCAGGTGTGGCCTACTCCAGACCTAAAGAACTGATTCTGACCAGCCATGGAATAGTGGAATCTCTTGCCCTCAGCTGCCCTCTGGGATGGAAACACTTTAGTCCTCCAGCTTCTTTAGGGTCTGCACACGCTACTTCTGGATTGGATGCCCAGAACAGACAACCCCTTGCCCTACAGGAACACCATTGATGGCCAGAACCCATGATCTCATCCCTTGCCCACCCACACACTTCCATCCTCTAATCACATGCACTACAAGTTAGTTGATGAGTGTCTAAGAATACATCAACATACAATCATCAACTTAATACAAATACAATACCACCACAATGTCTCAGAAGCAACAGACCATTTCTGTTCACACAGGAAACAAGACAGAGTGGCTCAGACAAGTGACCAAGAGGCAGAGCTAGAGAACATTTTGAGGGAAAAAAAGGTCAATAGAACTACCTGAAAAAGAATTCAAGATGATGACATTTAAGTGCCTCCAAATGATTGACAAAAGAGTTAGAAAGAAAGGGGGGAGGGAGAAGAAAAATTCAAGAAAACACTACAGGAGCAAACAAAATAGATAGATAAAGGATTTGGAGAAAATACAAAACCTGCAAATAGAAATCCAGAAAATTAATACTAAGATTTCAGAAATGGATAATACATTGAAAGAGCAAAGGAGTAGGTTTGAATCAATGGAAACATAAATTAGTGAGCTTTGAGATAAATCTCTCAATAGTAGTAAGGTAGAACAATCAGAATAAAAATGGGGGGGGGAATCTAGGATTCATGTGGGACAATATGAAGAGGAATAACTTATGGGTGCTCAGAAATCTAGAATAGGAAGAGACAAAGAAAAGCACAGAAAAGACAAGACCACCCAAGAGCTATTGGAAGAAAACTTCCCTAACATCATGAAAGACATGAAGATAAGCAAGCATTCAAGAAACTGAATAAACCCTAAACAGGATAGACCCCAAAAGAAAATCACCAAGACATATTATGATCAAACTTTCCAAAATCAAAGACAAGGATAGAATCATGAGACCAACTTGAGAAAAACAAAAAGTTACCTACAAAGGAGAGCCATAAAATTAAGTTCTTATTTTCCAGCAGAAACCATATAGGCAAGAAGGCAATTGTGAAGACATATACAAAACTGAAAGAAAATAATTGCCAACCAAGTTTCATATACCCAGCAAAACTGTCCCTCAAATACAACAGTGAAATCAGAACATTTCCAGATAGACACAAATTAAAGGAATTTGTAATAGCAGAGCAACTTTAAAAAAATCACTAAAGGAAGTCCTTTGGACTGAAAGCCAACAATAGCAGACCGCAACCTGAGAATGGCATGCATGGCAACTCCACCCAGAAATCACAATATAGACGGTACCCAAAGTAAAACAAACCTACAAGACTGAAAATAGGGAACCAGACATAAAAACATTAAATGACAATAGCTACAAAGAAAAAGAAGGAAAATTCTAAATGGTGTGGAAGTCAAGTAGATTTCAAGTAAAACAGACTGTTTTAAACTAGGGGAAAACTCAATAAATTACAAGGTAACCTCAAAGAAAATTAATACACCTTCACATCAAATTTAAAAAAAATGAAAACCATAGGATTTAATAAACATAAAAACAGCAATTGTGAAATTGACAAGAAAATGCACAAACAAAATGAGCTAAACACAGAAAATTATGTGGAACTAAGAAATTAGCAGCACCAAAAAAACCCAAACTACCCCATATAGT